CCAATTCTCACTTCTGTTCAGGACTCTTCGCTTTAAGCATTCCCTATGAAGTTTTGCCTCAAAGGTGGGGGAGTCAAGCAAAGGTAGGAGGTTACAGAAGTGGGTGGCCTGAGGACAGATACTCTACCCAGGGCTTTGGAGATGGATTGCTTGCCAGACATCTGTCAAGATAGTGTTAGGCATACAGGAGAGGTGTAGTGCTGAGTGTTCCTTGGTGGAGTTCCCAGTCAGCATTGACCGCTGGCAGATGGACTTGGTGCCTTGTGCTTAAAGTTATGAGGGACAGAACTCAGAGATTGGGTAACTATTTCCAAATGACATTTATTTGTTGAAGAGATAATAAAAGACTCGGGATGATCACTTACTTACACTATTAAATAGGGTCCCTTTGGCAGAATTTATTAGGCTCTAGTTCCCTAAACTCAAATGAGCACTTGGTTTTAAGAGAACAGTTTCAGAGAAGTTTGCTCCCTCAGCACTTGGAAATATCCCGTGCCAAGGTTAGGACCTTCATAAAGAAAGGGAGGGATTCTAAAATTGGGAGAGGAATATCTGGGTCCAGGCAGTGGAGAATCTCAAACTCTCAAATTCCCCTGAACCCACAAAACTGCTGCCCAGCTCCTATTCCTACTAGAAACTTTTTGAAGTCAGAGTCCTCTAAAGGAACAAAACTGATAAAATGAATATATATATGTGAAGATTTATAAGATTGTCTTAGAAGATAGAGTCTAAGTAGTCCATCAATGGCTGCACCACCCTGGAGAGGCTAAGAATCTGATAGTTGCTCAGTCCATGAGGCTAGATGTCTTAGCAGTCCTGATCTGGCACTGATGGCCTGGAGGCTTCCTGAAGATCTGGTGGTCTTCAGTCTACATTAGTATCTGAAGAAGTTGATTCTAACTGGCAAGTGAATGTCACAGCAACAAGATAGATAAACTCACCATGAAAGAAAAGGCAAGAAGGCAAAAAGCAAATGCTCTCCTCTGCCCTGTCATTTTATATGGGCTGCCACCAGGGGGTTTTGACCATATTTAGGGTGGATCTTCCAGCTTAAAATAATCCACATTTTAGCTAATTCTAGATCCAGTCAAGTTGACAACATAGATCAGCCATCATAGATGATATATGGCTATTTTCTTGTAATTGTAACATAACCTCCTAAGAAGACAGAGGCTTACAATGAAGTGGTTGGTGGAGACTGTCTCCTGCCTCCAGTCAGGATCTTATTATCCCTATCCTACTCTCCCACCAAGGGCAGAGTGGGAAGACAGTAAAGAATGTTCAAAGGAAAAGGGTACTTTCCTACTCACTCCAGATTAACAACCTTAAAGGGGTTAAATAATTTTAAACAGCTTGGGACATGGATTTAACAGTTCAAGTAGAATGGGTGTGAAGTCTCTCAGGATGCTAGTCAAAAGCTGTTACAGCTCTCAGAAGCTCTCAGAGAACTTTGGGATGTCAACTAAGAGCAGCCCTTGTGGACCAAGTTTGCAGAAGACAGGTCCATGACAGGCGCAACATGTCTCCTATCTCTGGTCTCAGAGGCTACAAATAGCTGCTGGAATGAATCCCCCATCTGCAGCTGAAGCATGGGGTTGCAGAGGCTGAGGCAGGACTGAATCCCCTGCTGGCAGCTGAGTCTTCAACTTGCAGTTGAGTCCTGGAAGCTGGCTCTGTCAAGCTCCTTCCCTGGGATAGAAGTCTCAGGTCTAAAAAGTCCCCCAGTAGTCCATCTGCACCAAATCCCGAAAGCTATCTTCCTTCTCTTCCTCCTCGGTCTGCCCTTTAGGTATTTTCTGTGCACCGAAGCCTCAGGGTGCCTGAATTTATTGAGGACTGGTAGTGCCTTGATCAGCTGAATGGAATAAGGTGAGAAATGGGACTAATTAAAGAAGAGCTCTCAAAAACCTTCTGTCTGTTCTGGTTGCTATAGGGATCTCTGCAAGCCACTGCCTGCTGCTTCCCATGTTCAGAGTTCTGCCTGCCAATTCCATTCATGAGAGCTATCATTGAGGCAGCAGTTTTTGTCTCCTTTGCCCTGGTGACTTGAATTCCCTGACTGTCAGAGAGCCCTGCATCACATGGGAAGCTCCATAGGGAGAAACACGGGCTCTTCCCCCTATCACTAAGACTCAAGAAGCTAAAGAAACTGGAGACTCAGGAAGCTCCGATAGAGGCAAGACCCATAAGGCAAGATTATATAAGCAGTAAACAGTTACTGGGGTTTGGGAGACTTCCCTGGAGCAGTGATTCCACTGGGCAGGGAATGCAGCTTTCCTGAGTCATCACCCCTCCTGGAGCTGGCTTTTCTGTGATGCAGCAGCTGCACAGGAGCCACATATGCTCTTTTAAGTAACCTCTCACCCACGCTCCTGTGAGTAACCCCAATAAACATGAGCTTACCAAGATAGACATGGGTAGAATCTTTTTCTTTGGTCTGTTATCAGTACCTGATCTGAGGTGAACAGATATTTGTTCATATTTTTCCAGAAAAACTCACACAACATAGAGGATGAAAATAGCACACAGAAAAGATGCTGCAGGTGATGAAGCTTGAAAATCACAGGTCCTGAGGCTTCTGCCTCAAAGAGCTGGAGCAGCACATTAAGTTGGATAAAGGTTGCTTCCCATCATGGAAGCAGTTTCCCATGATCCCGGATTTGACTCTAAGGCACATGCTCTAGGGATGTCACATGACGAGGTGCTAGGAGGGCTTCAAGACTTCGCATGAAAGTTGCAATTCACATTAACGAAATAGAAACATTGGTACTTCCATTGTGCGTGTTGGAGAAATGGATTCAAAGGCTCAGAGAAGCAAACATGCTAGCAGGGATCCAAACTAAAAAAAAAAAAAAAA